TATTTTCTATGATTTGCTTGCTGTAGTAAAAAAAAAAAAAAATAGTTTTCTTACACGTTTCTCTTTCTTGTGGATTTTATTTGCACATGTGGCCTTGACCCCTGCTTCAGAGTTCATTTCAGAGGATAGATAGCAGATTTAATGCCAAATCAAGTCATGGAAAAAAAATGTTTCAGCTTTTCAAAACCAGTTTTTCCAGAGCTGGTAGAATAGCTCAGTCAGCTTTCTGTTTGGATCACCTACTGGTTGTCACGTGCTCCCAAACGTGAGGTCTGTAGTGGATGGTTTGTAAGTTAATATTCTTTTTTTTTTTTTTTTTAATTTTTTTTTCAACGTTTATTTATTTTTGGGACAGAGAGAGACAGAGCATGAACGGGGGGAGGGGCAGAGAGAGAGGGAGACACAGAATCGGAAACAGGCTCCAAGCTCCGAGCCATCAGCCCAGAGCCTGACGCGGGGCTCGAACTCCCGGACCGCGAGATCGTGACCTGGCTGAAGTCGGACGCTTAACCGACTGCGCCACCCAGGCACCCCTGTAAGTTAATATTCTTGATGGAATAATTCAGCCCGTGCTATAAACTTCAGAAGGTTTATATAGAGAGTCAAAGGCTTCTCCCCACCATTGTCTCTACCCCAGAGAAGACAGCTGCTGTCAGTAGTCAGCTGCTTGTTCATTCTTCCAGAGACCTGTTTCGGCAAACGCAAACCCCTTCCGTACACACATTTCCCCAAACAGATGGTGGCATACCCCACACGTGCTCCGTGCCTTGCAGTTGGAGGGATTTTGTTGGAACTTTAAACTGGATTTGGATTTTCAGGGGTCTGAGTGGGTCCCCGGGGGCAGAGTAATGAGCACATCTGTGTGTCACCCCCTCTGTACTGTGCGTCCTCGGCCGGGTCTCCCGGGTGGTAACTAGCGGGGAAGGTTCCGACGGACGGCGGCGTCAGTGTGGAGGCTGGAGGCAGGCCGACAGGGCTGGCGGTGTGATGGCCTTGTAACAGGACCCGGGTCCTAGCGCGCTGTCCTTCTGGTAAGCTGATGTCGTTCCTCCTTCACAGGCGTCCGCGCCTGTCACCTCTGTTCTTTCTCGTGTGGCTATTGTCCACGTTTTCACGTTCTGGTTTTCCGACAGGATAGTTTGTATGTAATTATTATTTTTTTAAATTTTATTTTAGAGAGAGAGCATGAGTGGGAGAGTGGGGGAGAGAGAGAGATTGAGAATCCCCAGCCACATGCTCAGCATGGAGCCCGACACGGGGCTTGATCCCATGGCCCTGGGATCGTGACCCAAGCCGAGATCAAGAGTTGGACACTTACCTGAATGAGCCACCCAGATGTCCCTGACAGTATGTTTTTTATATTTTTCCTTATTCTGGAAGGAGTTGCTTATATTACAGTTATATTAAATTACCTTGAAATTTCAGTGTTGGGTAAGATCAGAGAAGGTACTTAAGGTAAGTGAAGGCTAAATTTTAAATCTCTAGAATAAACCTCCACAATTAAGTTATTCTGAATATTTATGGTATATTTGCCCTTTGCTCTGACCAACAAAGCAAACTGAGGACCCCTTTCCTCTCCTTTGAAGTTGCTTGTGTGCCCCTGCGGCCAAAGGCCTCTTTCCCTGGGCCCCCAGAAAGTTATTTTTAATTTCATCCTTTTTTTCCCCCTGGAAATAACACATTCAGACATCTGTTTTTAAAGATGAAAATACTTCTTTGTTGAGCTCTTAACTTTTCAAAAATAAACGTAAATCACTTGTAAATCTCCTTTATATTATAAATTATAATTTTCTTTTAATGTTGTAATATTTTTTTAATTATTATTTCATAGTAACATATTAGATGATTAATACAGAAAAAAAATCAACAGCAGAAAAAATCAAACATACAAATCAAACATCATCTAGTTTTTTAGGCTGGATGTTGTCCTGCCTCTGGCAAGTGCTACTCAGCAAGGTCTTATCATCCTAAGGACCAGTGATGAGAAGTCTCCCCACCTTCCCCTTTATTGTTTGAATGTGTTTGAGAACAGAGCCAGTGGATTTGTCAGGTTGTAGAGTGTACATCCCTTCCTCTAGGGCTGATGAGGTCCCCTGCACTCGGATGCTTTCTCTTATCCAACTTCTCTGTTTGTTTTCTTTGAATAGGCTCAGATCTCATTGGCCTGAGGTTTATCGCTGGTTTCCCAGAATCTGCTTTGCATATACAACGCCTGCTTGGCTCTTTGCTCTTCAACTAAATCAAAACACAATTAGTGGCAGGGTTTCATGGCGAGGGATAATTGTGTTCTAGAGCCAATCATAAACAAGTAAATCGTTTGTTTATTTTTCAAAATATTTTCTTGCTTTGTTTCAAAGCCGTCAGCTGAACCCTGACTGCATGTTTTATCAGGAAGAAGACTTGGTCATAAAATTCCTACATCTGCCACTTCTTTTTACCAGCCGGTCTGGGATTGATTGTTTTTGCAGTGTAGGAGGGGAACAATCCTTGTTTGCACAGCTTAGAACATTTTGGTAAGAATCACAGAAGATACTGCATGTGAAAACATTGTGGAAAACGTTCAGCACTGTATTTATGTTGTAATGAGTGCATAACTGATATTATTTGTACTTTTAAGAAAAGTCCAAGTCTCGAGGGATTTAAAAAAAAAAAAACAGTGTGAAGCACTAAAGTATAGAAGCCTTAAGAAAAAATGTAGTTGTTTTTAAACTGTTCTAAAGTTGACTGTTTTATAGTCTTTCCTTTGGAAAACAACCCAGAAAGCCGTTATAGCTCTTACTAGAATAAAACAGGGGATCCTGTATAATTGGAAAACAGAAAAGTGCTTGTAACGTGATAGTTCTTAAACATCCGGGGTTTGGACAACTCAAGTAGAAGATAGTGTAACTGCTTTTTTCTTCTTAAAAGGAAACCTCTTTTTATTCTACAAATACTGGTTTAACTGTACAAGCGCTTAAACGGCATATCGGTTTTTCCATGCCAGGCCTTCTCCTGAGTGTTCATGGGCCGTGACTCGTGCTTCCGGTAACGATCCTTTGAGGCAGGTCTGGCTGTGACCTGTTTGACAGAGGAGGGCTGGAGAGGCACGGGGCAGTGTCAGGCCTGCCCTGGGTCCACACCCGGGGAGGCGGGAGGCCAGAGCTGGAGCCCCCTGGGAGGACTGCTGCAGCCAGGCCCCACCCTGGGTGCCAGGCATCCTGTCCCAGCCCTGTGTCCCGTCTCTAGGTTTCTGGTTCCGGGGAAGGTGCTAGAAAGGGCAGCGGGCGCGGGGAGGGCCCACTGGCTCTCTGGGTACCCGCCTCCATGGTCATCCCCACCGCGCTGGTTCCTAGCGGCAAAGCAGAGGATGTGCGCTTCCTCGCGCTCTGTGCAAACCGGTGGCACCAGCGGGTGGACTGGATCGTCCGCACGGAGGACAGACGTCGGGAGCGGGAGAGCACGGCCCTTTTCCTGTTTGCTGCCTCCCCTCCCTGTGTCTCATGGCGTAGCTGTCACACATCAAGGGCAGCTGTCCGTACCCACCTGTCACAAAACCTGCTTTGCAAGGCTGCCGGCGGCAAAAACCCAGTGTCTTTAGGTACCCGGAGAAAAAGCCCGGTCTTTTTCAAACTTTTGGGAAAGACGAGACTCAGTAAGTCATTGACTTCTTGTGGAGAATTTTCTTAACCACGTTACGGCAGTGACATAAAAACGGTCATGAGTATGTATACACAGCGATGAGAATATTTCTACCATACAGTTTTCATCAGCTGGGTAACTAGCTCTTAGAGCCCTGAAAGTAAGCCAAGATTGTTTCACTTTCTCGTCGCTAATCGGTGAAAAAAAAATGAGCCATTTAAAGTGGAGTCTACAGAATGATTTACGGTCCTTTTTGTAGTTGGCAAAAACGTTTGTGTCCATAGCATGTTTTTTCCCTTTGAAATGGACCTGGTGGGTGAGAGCAGTTCACTGTGGCTCGGCTTATTCATCTGCTAAATGGGGACGATGTGGGGCAGACTTGGGATTCGGAGGAGGCCTCCTGCAGGGACGCGCCCTGTTCTGATCAGAAGTGGGGGTGGCAGGGACTTGCCTGCAGGGCAGGAGCCACAGCTCTAGGGATGAGGGAGGCTCCTGCGCTCTGCGTGGGGGGGGCCTGTTCAGGGGGGCCTGTTCTCTAGTGTTTGGCCGCCTGCCTCTCTCTTGTCCGATTGAGAGATCCCACTGGCAGCGTCTCGTCGCAGGCGGCGCCAGGGACAGGGTCGTGTCCTCGGACCCTGGCGTGGGCGTCACAGACCTTGTGCTTGAAGAGCTCAGAACCCTGTCGATACCATTTCGATCAAATGGGAGGTGGTCTTCTTAATGTTACTGTAAGATTCCACGCTGACTGGCTGAACGTTCATGTCGTGGAATGTCTAGTCTGCTCTATCGAATGGCGGTAACCTTTTGGTAACGGAAATCAGGCGGCCCTTCGTGTGCTTTTTGTGACAGGCCCTGTGGGGGTACGTTTTACCTGCAAATAGGAAGAAGCGGGTTTCGTTTTTTTGTCATCACTTGAGCGGAGCGGGAGAGACCGTTCGTGTTCACGGTTCGGTAGCATCGTCTAAGAAGCACGTGCATCCGGGGGCTTCGATTTATTTTCTTCTCTGGGTACTGCTCCATTCTCGAGTTCCTCACTCTGCATCTCCGGCCGTCAAATTGGGGTTTGGTGGGGGGGCACCTGTGTCCTGCCATCCCCTCACTCAGTAGCTGGCTCCCACCCCATCCCTCGTCCCCAGCCTAGCGTTCTCAGTCTTCAGTCTGAAATCACGGCGCGTGTGTGGTACTGGTGAGTATAGAGGGGGCCGAGGGCGCGAACCTTCTGCCCAGGGCGTGGAGCTCCCCTGTGCCAGCCGCACCCTGCCTCTCCTGGAGGTGTCGCTTTGTCAGGTGCCAGAAACCCGACCCCGTGCTCGTCAGACCATCTGTCTTTATGTGATAGTCACTGCATTTTTTTTTTAACGTTTATTTATTTTTGAGACAGAGAGAGACAGAGCATGAACAGGGGAGGGTCAGAGAGAGAGAGGGAGACACAGAAGCAGAAGCAGGCTCCAGGCTCCGAGCTGTCAGCACAGAGGCTGACGCGGGGCTCGAACTCACGGACCGCGAGATCATGACCTGAGCCGAAGTCGGACGCTTAACCGACTGAGCCACCCAGGCGCCCCCGTCACTGCATGTTTGATAAACGAATGAGAAGATTATTGGACACCCCCGTCTTTTAAAAATATAACCCCTTGTGAAGTTGAAACTTCTTTCATTCTTAATTTTCTTTGACTAATTAAAAAGCATCACAATAAGGTTAGCGTGTCCCTAATCAACCAGTGAGTGGGTTTACAGATTTGAGACCCTTTATTCAGACGTGCCAAGAAGTTGATTCCGTATTTCTTATAGCTACGCTAACTTAGCTCACTCATTCCTGTCTGGAAGGTGGGGGAAGCCTTACCCTGACCATTGACTGTGTGTCTTATCCCTTACCGCGGGAGTATTCAGTCCGGGCAGGCTCGAACCAGCTAGGGTGAATCCTGTCTGGCGGATCTCAGTCGCTCAGGCTCCGTGTCTCCCCGCTTCTCGCCTGTCTCTGTGGGGCACCCCTCCTACTCCTGCTCTCTGGGAGACCCGTGGTCGGTGGAGGGCAGGCCCCTGGAGTGACGCTCCCTGCATGCGGCCTTGACGTGGTCTGGGATCGCTCTGTCGGGCCATCCGCCCTCTGCAGCACCCTCGCCGGGACCCGTCTGGATCCCCCGCCGCTGCCCGGACTTCCAGGTCCCCTGAGTCATGTGCCGGCGTTCCCCTTCGTGGCCTCTCGGTCTGCCTTTCCTACCTCCGATTTCCCTCTCTCCCCTGAAGCTCCGGGGCTGGCGGGCCTGGCCGCATGCTTCCTGTAGCACTCCTGAGTGCTTGCACGGGGCACGCGGCGGGACTGATTCCTTCTCCAGACCTGGGTCCTGCTGTAGTTAAAAGAGCTAAAGGAAGTTTGAAAAGTCCTCTTCTCTCCCAGCTAATGCCTCATTTTGGGGCCCCAGGGCAAAGCTGGTCAGTGCACTGTTGCTTCTAGACCCTGCTGGGCCCTCCATGCCGGGGCCTTCAGCCTCGTGGCAGGGCCAGGGAAGGTGAGCGGCTGTAAGAAGCAGGGCAGGGAGGAGAGAGGTACCAGTGTAGCGAGCGCAGTGTGTTCCCGCCTTAACATTCTTCTTTAGCGGCTCCTATAAAACACCGCATTTCTCTTTGTGCCATACGTTTGAAGTCCCCGGTCCGCTTAAATAGAAATCCAAACAGAAAAGTCAGTGCCGCGGAGTGATAGCAGGTGCACAGGGAAGTCCCAGTAAGCTAGTAGACGAGGCAGCACCGCCTTGATGGGAGTATGTGGGTTCTTTGACGTTTCCTTTTTGAAGCTGGCTAACGCTTGTCCTGATGTCCGGCGTGTACCTTCTGCTAACGTGCAAAAAAGGCTTTCGTAGATTCACGTGTCGCGCATTGGTGAAGCCTCGGTGCGGTTGGCTGAGAGAAGTCAGAGCAGGTGGTCATTGGGCCTCGAATCCCCGCGCTGGCTGACGCAGAAGCGAAACCCAGCGTTGGAGCTGCCCCCCAGCACGCTTCGGGGACAGAGGCGTAGCTGATCCCATTCAGATTTCAGAAATCGTTTCGGCCCAGAGTTATCTAAACGGATCTCCCCTCATTTATAACTCAGAAGCAGTTTCATTTTGCCCATAAGGTGACGGTATTGTTAACGAGACTTAATAAACTGAACTTACTTTCTCTACTCTCTGCTTAAAGAAGAGGAATTAGAAGGTGTCTTAACCATTTAATGTCTTGCTGTAGATGTGCACTTGGACCTGGAAGACCGCCTGGCAAAGTTTATGCAGACGGAAGAAGCCATTATCTACTCGTACGGATTTGCCACCATCGCCAGCGCTATTCCTGCGTACTCCAAGAGAGGGGACATTGTGTTTGTGTGAGTAACTTTTACCCACGTTTCTGGGCAGACTTCCTTTGGGAATGACGGTGATCCTCCCGGAGGATGCCTTTGTTAGAGGTCATCTGCCTTAGATAATCCTGACTTTTTATTTGGTAAAGAAGTATATAGTAACTTCAGCGAAGTGATTGTACGGAATTGACGAGACTCTCACTGTAAGGATGCCTAAAGTGTTTTTAATTATTGATTTTATTTATTGACGTCCACAAGGCCAAGCTTACCACGGGTGAGGCCAGCGATCTCTCTTCTCTCTGCGGTTCGGTGACAGGATGGTAGTGTTCTTGAAGGGTCCGTGATCACCACCCACCTGGTTGCTCAAACTACTACTGCATTCTAGCTTACCTTGTCAGGCTCATTTTGTACACTTCTCCTCAGGCATTCATGCTGTAGCCTTGTCAGCCTCCTCTGCTGGTGTCCTTTCACCACAGGGCCTTTGCACACGCCATTCCTGTGCCTAGAACATTGCCGCTCCTCTCTGTTCCTGCTCACCCTGCATATGCCTCGCCTCTGCGGGGAAGCCTTCCCTAGCCTCTCAGACCAGGCCGAGGCCTCCCGCTGCATGGGAGAAGATCCTGGAGCCAGAGGAGTCTGGTGTTTGTGTGATCCATGATCACGTGGGTACTCACACTGCCCCTCAGAGTCCCTGTGCTTCTCCAGCCCCCCCCGCCCCCCGCACACACATCACACATGTGGGCACCCGCACTGCACCCACCGCCCCGCTTCCCCCGTGGCCCTTCCGGCGGGGCGTACTAGTGCGTTGCCTCCCCTGGCGTT